GGGGGGGGGGGAGCAGTGAGGCGTGTACACGGAGCCTGACTACAGGCAAACCTCTTTGTCTTTTCCTCCGAATTTTTCAGTTCCATCTAGGACTTGGATACGATTTAGGGAGAGAGACGGTATCACCAAGAAGCAGGAAAACTGGTGCAGGTAAGAGGTGACTATTACTAATAATGAGTAGAAATAAAAGGGCTTCACTGAAAACACTTCTGCGTTATTTTCAGAGTCCTAACTCTCCTGTCATTGACTTAGAAGTCATGTATCTATTAATCAGAGACCTGAAAAGGAATGTCCTCCCTCATCTTTGCACAAAATTTTCCAAAAATATTCCATGTTATAATATAGAATTCATATAAATGTGCTACCTTTCCTTAGGATGAAAAGATGGCTTACATAACCATTTGTTTTAACCCCCAAAATATTTTTGCTGCGTAAAATGTAGGTTTTTATCTTAGAATAATTGAGAAATTTAGAAAATGTGAGGAAGTCAAAAATATTTTAAGTTAATACAAGTTTCATTTAAAAAGTACATCTCAGTGAAGGACTGAAGAAAGTCGCAGTGCAGCCTCAGTCATAAAAGGTAAAGCTGCCAATTCTAAATGTATGCAATTGTATTAATATGCTAACTTCATGTGTAAGTTTAACTTAAAAGAATATGCATAAGCATTAATTCTGAAAATACTTGTGTACATATAACATTTAATAAATAATGTTAGCTTGCAAAGAAATACTATTAATTTATAAAGAAGATAGTCTTTCTATTGAACTGTGTAAGTCCCAATTCCAATAAAAAAACACCAAAATTAACAAATACTTATGATTCAATTTAAAGTTCTATCTTTAAACTCTTCATAATCTTCTTGGTAAACCTCCTAAATAAAAGATGACAAAATTGAATCTTGTTAAAACAAAAATGTCATAATCAGCAGTCACTGAAAAATTTTCATGTGTCTAAGGCTTAAAGCAACAGTTAGCCACTCCCTCTCTTTCCTGTTCTCCAGAGCCCCTCGACAGGGCCTAAACTCAGCACGCTGAGAGAACGCAGCAGCTGCACAAAACCGGCTTTCTCTGCACTTCCCTACTTCTGTCCACCCATTCTCAGAATTCAGCAGCATCTTTCCCATCCCCTCGTCTAACGCCACTCTTGTTTAAAAGGTGCGCCTCACTCTGCACTTGGACCACCAACACAACGCCAGGTTTCCTTTTTCACTTCCTGTCTTGCCTCTATTCCAAACTTTTCCATAAAATGACATCAGGTTATTTCTAAAATGCAGTGGATCTGATCAACCCACTGCTTTAAAATGTTCTATCCTGATGATATACCAGACACACGCATAGTCTCTAATTATCTTCCCATAAAACACATACCAATCACAAAAGGAAAAATAGCAACGGCATATATAGCGAAGAAATGGACAACTTAACAAATAGAAAAATTACATACTCAGTGGGGGAGAAATGAAGATCACACGACTCCGAATGTGATACTCGAGAAGGAAGTGCATACAATGTTTTCAGCCAAGAATGCAAACTCTGAATCAAACTATGAGAAGATATCAGAAAGTCCAAGGGATAGTCCACAAAATAACTGGCCTGTCCCCTTCAAAAACATTAATATCATAAAAGACCAAAAAAAGGCTGAAGAACTATTATAGATTAAAGAAAACTAAAGAGATGTGACAACTAAATGCAATATGTGATCCTGGACTAGACCTGGTACCAGGAAAAAAACGTTAAAGACATTAGGATGACTGAAAAAAATGAGAATATTGATAGTAGATTATATAAAAGGTTTCTCTCCATGCTAAGTGTCCTGAGCTTGGTCACTGCAGTGCGGTTTACCAGATACCCTCGTCCTCGGGCTGCCCACGCTGAAGCATTAGGGTGACGCTCTTGCACGCACAGAGAAAGAGGCATGAGAATAAGGAACATGTGGCTAGGCGTCAGGAATGGTCAAGCAGGGAGAGTTACTCTGGAGTTCTCTGTATTATTTTTGCAACTTTTCTGTACACTTGAAACAATTTAGAATAAAAGGCTAAGACAATGTCCCAGGTTTGTTCATTGCTAACCAAACGGAATACAAATCCTCGGCGCAGTACTCATGAGACCCTCTGAACAGGCTCAGCGGGCCGGACACCGCTCTCCACTGAGACCTCCCTACACAAGCACAATCAGCTGCATGTTCTACGTAGTTCCTGGGATGGCATGTACTTGCCCATGTCTGTGCCTAACATATACTCCCCTCCCCATGTTCCCATTTATAAGAGTCTGTTTTCTCTTTTCCAAGGCCCATCTTCCTTACCTTTTCTATTACTTGCCAAACCCCACTAAACTGGATATACGGTTGATCTCTCCCTAAGAACTTAATGAGCCCACATGATTAGTAAACTAGGGCATAATTCAAAAGAAAGGGGAAAGATGACACACGCAGTATTAACCAGGTGAAATGTAAAAGTGTAGACTAGCCTACGGAAATTTGGAGGCGCGTGACCAGAGTCAGAGTGGAATGAGACTGAAGGGTCCACACCCAGAAAGGGTAGTGAAGCTGTACAGACGGGCGAGTTACCTAGGAATGGATACGTAAGGACGGGTTAAGTCCAATAACCACTCCGCAGGCAGCATCGTCATTAGATGGCAGCAAAAGGGACATATGAAAAATACACAGAAAATACGGTTGGAAAGGCAGGAAGAGAACCATGACAGCCTCCAGGACATTGAGAAAGAAGAAAAACCTGAAGGAGTACTAGTGAGATGACACTAAGTGTGACAGCATCAAAGAGCAAAGAGAACTAGGCAGATACATGAACAAAAAGAAAAAAACATGGCCCACAGAGTAGTTTCAATAGTGTTGCAAAGATGCAGCCCAAATGAAGTTTACTAAATTTCAACCAATATTTAATGAGTACCTACTATATGCCAAACAGTGGGTGTGAGGAAGGAAATTGGCTGGAATTAGCAATGGGTATGCACTAAAGGTTGAAGAAGTTAGGACATAAGGGGGAATTTTTAAAAGTCTATACTTTATAATTGTTATGAAAATAGATTCTTACCAGAAGATAAGAAGATTCATCTTGTGTAATCTGAGTCTAGAAACAATATGAAATATAAGAAAAATTCAAGTTAGCCTCTAAGGATGGTTTTCCCATTAATAAATCCATATTAAAAAGTTACAATACATTTCAAAAACATGATTAGTTTTTGTAATCTGGTTTAAAATTGTAATACAAAATAACGAATTACAAGGATATCTTTTGTTTATGAGGTTATTTTGGAAAAACACAGCATATTATTTTAGGTTGTTAAACAATCCTTACGAGATTGTTCGATAGTTAATAGAAGGACTCTTGCTGCGGCACAAGAGAACCCAACAAGCTCAAGGTTGCGGCCAGAGCAAAATTAGATATGATCCAGTGTGTTTATTAAAATCACCGGGTCTGGCTTAACAAGTGAATGAGTCCCAGGTTTTCTGCACGCTGCTCTGCTCATTCACACAGCCTTTTCTCCTACAAGGCCACTGACTACTTTTTTCTCCTAATCCCCTTTCCTGCCTTGTTCATTCTCCTTAATCAGATAGGAAAAGTAAAGTAGAGCATCACTACTGAACACTGGCTGTACGCCGTCGCGGCACACAACTCCTGCCACTACTGCCATGGTTACACAAACAGGAGTTTCTAGTGTCACATTGCTTACAAAATGGCATTCAGTTCCAGGTACTATTGTTTGAAAATATTCTTCACAAATTAAATTCCACAGATATACCAACTGTCAAATAGAGGTTGTCATCGAGTGGCTACTAGGGACCCCCAGGCGCACTTGGCGGTAACGAGTGTGTTAGGGCTGCATGTGAAGGAGAGGAAACAACTATTACAGTTTATCAACTCGTGTGGCATTAGTTACATCAGAGAAGTTTTTATCCAGTTTAACTGCTTGAGAATGCAGACCTTCCAACATTTAACTAAATCACATCTGGTGTTGCCCTGGCCACAGCATTGAACTCAGTATCAATGCAGCTTTAGAACCTGGTTTAATTCATGAGATGTTTTCCAGGAATGAGGTGACGACATCAAGGCCGTAACTCAAGGGCAGATTTTGTTAAATGCATTAAATTAGATGGCAGCATCCACGTGACTATATAAAGTGACATGTACATTTATATTGCCCTTAAAATGTTTTTCTTCATCAATACAGATGCGTTTTGTAATCTGTATTTAAAAACTGGCATTAAAATTCAGATTTAACAGACAAGTGTGTTCCTTTTGCTGGGTAAAGTCCAGTCAACACTCACCTGCCATCCTCCGCTCACACACACACACACCTGTGGTCGCTCTACCTCCCTGCTTTAAGTATGTTGTACTTTTCATGATGATGAGCAGTGGTTACGTGGTAGCTGTGTTCCTATAGTTCTCACATTGCATGTGACAATTAGAAAAAGCACTGTTCTAATGTGATTCAGGGTCACTAAGCTGTCACAGAAGCCAGCCCTTCAACACAACAAGGAGTGTGACTTACTTTCCCTAGACAATTGCTGGCGTTTCAGCCTGCGTCTGTATTCTTCATTTTCTTCAAGCATTCTAGAAATGACTTTGTGCACTTTTTTCCACACTGAAACCTTAAAGAAATAAGCACAGTTACAGAATGCTGAGCAGAAACGCAGGAACAGGTTCTGATGGGGGCAACTGGGAGTGACTGACTGTGCTGCATGTTAACCAACATAATTATAAAGCAATGTTAGCACTTAGAGACCCAAAACTTAAGTGTACTGTAATTATTTTCTGTGATCACTGAGTTCTCTGATTTCTTTTTCCAACGTCCCAGCATTTCCTCTCTGGAGTATTTAAATCAACAGTCCTGAGTGAAACTTCCTTCCCAAGGCCATGTCTAAAAGCTCTACCTAAATGGCTCCAACACATTCAACCTTGTTTTGAAAGATAATAAAATAATGAATTTCTATTCCTATGTCCAAACCAGTGGGCAATAATGTGATTTTAATGTATTTTATTTTAGATAAGCATTTCTACTAAGATACCAAAGCAAAGTACCTCATGAGCATGAATGCGCTAGAATGGGAAAGTGAGACCTATGGGAGCAGCACAGCCCTTGGCTCCAAGGCTGGCTTTGCCACTCAGCAGCTGCTTGACATTGGGCAGGTGTTTAATCCCATCCAGGAGAAACTGATTATTAGAATTAATGACAAATATTTGTAAAGTGCGTACCCATGTCTGGCACACAATAGTCATAAGTAAATATTGGCTACTGCTCTTTTCTCCTCACCCCAGAGGGGCTGGTCCTTAAATATTTCTTAGTGGGAAGATCAGGTACTCACTCAAAATACATTTGCTGCAAGGGTTCGTCACCTTGAATGCATTTTATACTATATGTGAATTATAATTCAAACACTAAGCTCAGAAAATACAATTTTATGTGTCATTATAAACCAACAATTTCTTTAAAGTGAAGTATAAAATATATGGTGGAAATCAAAATGAGCAACTGATCTTGAATATGTTTAAAACATTCAAGCTACCGTGACATTTGGACCAGAGGTGAAAAGGCTCATTCTTGTCAGCTTTACTGCTGGGCACTTAATGTGCATTCCTTATCTTTAAAAGGGCACGCTGAACCCCGGTCCATTGGCTCAGTGGTTAGAGTGTCAGCCTGGGAACTAAAAAGTCCCGGGTTCAATTCCGGCCAAGAGCACGTACGTACGGGAGGCAACCAATCCATGCATCTCTCTCACATCAATGTTTCTCTCTCTCCCTTCCACTCTCTCTGAGAAGCAATGGGAAAGTATCCTTGGGTGAGGATTAAAAAATAATAAAAATAAAGAGCAATATGAAACCAATAGACACATTACTGTTTTCTGTGAAATCCATGATTTCCTCCTATTATACTATCTGAGTTTGTTACAGTCTATAGAACATATATTCTCATGCTTTGACAAATTTCCCAGTGAGTTACATTTTGATTAAAATGTGTGTTAGACCTTCAAATACTGCAAGAACTATTCTTTATGGTTAATAAATATTTCCAAACCAAGTTCCATTTCTGCTAAAATTACTTCTGTTTTCTCATTTCAGTAAACATTTCAAAAGATGAAACAACTTTTACTGTCTTGAGTATGTTCACACATTTGTATTTAAAGGTTAATCTAAGACTCAAATGCTGCTCATCCCCTTTCCTATAATATACCTTCTTTTTCTTCATTATTTTGGAAGCTTCGTTGAAATGTGCGGGAAACTCAAACTTTTTATCTAAAGTCTTCTGGGTTGAACCTAATTTTTAAAAAAAAGAAGGTGAGTGTCGAGGCCAGCACATACTTGAAAGTAGTCACTATCCTGAGAACAGACAACTACAAATGTCTCTTGAGCTCTCTCTGGGATTTTCACAATTACTGGTATATTTCAGATCACTAGGTCATGCCAGTTTACCAATTAGTTAATGTAATGGTGAGGGAAAAAAAGAAAGAAAACCAGAGCTAACCTTGGAAGTGCCTAGGAAATGTCCTTCATTTGCTGATTTGCAAGGTGAGCCCCTAAAAGGCCAGCAACAGTAAACAAATACCAGGGCCCCGCCCTGCCCCAGGGCACTTCCATTGCCTCTCTTCAGCACTCAGCTGCAAGTGCATTATGCTCTGGACCACACAAAACACCTGTGTACCTCGCGCCCGTCTTCTTACTCCTCCCAGCCTTTGCACTTGCTGTTCCAGCTGGCACACACCAGGCAAATTTCTACTTGTTCTTCAAGACTCAGCTCATACATCACCTCCTCTCTGAAGCCTTCCCTCACACACACAGTCTTGCACCAGCACTGGCTCCAGGAACACCTTATTCAGAGCACTTAGCACAATTTCACACCATGTGTTTATGTTGTGATTCTTCCACTAGGCTGTGACCTTCTAGAAGGCAATGGCCTTGTGTGCCTTGTTCAGCTTTCTGTCCACACTACCAGACACACAGGAGATACTCGTAAAAGTCTGTCAGAGTGAGTAAGCTTCCTGACTCTACTCACTGAACCATGCTGTCTTCCTAAATTAACTGTTAGAACACCTAAGAGCTGTGTGTCCAAAGACAACATCATAAAACAATGGACATGTATTCCCTGGCAGCCTTTACAACTGTTCTTATTTTGCCTGGAACACCCGTCCCTTCCTCACCTCATTTCTACCCTACCACCACTCTCCACCTGGCTTCCTTCTACTCATGCATTTTCATAGGAGATCTAGAGAAAGTTATTACAGAATTATCCCACAAAGAGTATCAGACCCAGATGGTTTCCCTTCAAACACCAGGATAGTTCTAATGTTCTATAAATTATTCCAGAGCACTGAAAAGGAAAGAAAAGCTCCTACTTCATTTTTTGAAGTATAACTGACACCCAAACCAGACTAAAAACAATCAAGAACGAAAGAAAAACTACAGCTCACTGTGTCTCACAAACACCAGGCAGAAACTCTAATCAGAGCACTAGCAGAGCCCAACACTACTCTGAAAGAATGCATCATGACCAAGTAGGATTCGTTTCAGGAATGCAAGGTTGGTTCAGTATTAAGAAATCCATTTACATCAGATGCCATATTAATAAATCTAAGGGGAAAATACTTATTTCACAGATCTGAGAAAGCCTCTGACAAAATTCAACACTCCCTCTGCCATAATGAAAACACTGGAGAAAATACAAATTGAGGAATGCTCTTTAATATTTTAAATGTAGATGCCTTAGTCCTAAAGCTGGTACCTTATTTAATGGTGAACCCTAGAGGCATTTCCCCTAAGATCAGGAACAAGGCAAGAATGTCCACAATCTCCATCACTATCCATCAACATTGTAAAGGTATCAGCCCATGCAAAACAAATCTATTGAAGGCATAAGCATGGGTAAAAAAATTACCTGTTTATAAATAAGAGTATATCTGGAAAATCACAAGTATCAACAATAACACAACCTCTAATAATAAAAGAATTAAGTGAAGTACCAGTGCCTGAAAATAACAGACAAAAATCACTAGGCTAAGTGAAAGAAGCCAATCAGGAAAACTGACATATTGTATGATTCTATTTATATAAAATGTCCAGCCCAGCCGGGTGTGGCTCAGCGGTTGAGTATTGACCTAGGATACTCTCTTCTCTCTGAAATCAATAAAGATATATTTAAAAAAAAAAAAATGTCCAGAATAGGCAAAGCTATGGAGACAGAAAGCAGTTTAGGGCTTGCTTAGGGCTCAGGCACCGGGCAGGGGAGGGCAGTGAGCGGGAACAGTGAGTACTAATGGAAACAGGGTTTCTTTGAGGGGTAGTAAGAACCTTCCAAAATCGATTGTGGTGATGGTTGCACAACTCTGCATAAAACAAATACATTGCACACTTTAAGTGGGTGAGTTGGATGGACTGTGAATGATCTCTCAACAAAGCTATTTAAAAAAAAAAGAGCACAGGTGGAAGGGTGAGCCCTCAAAACAGAGGCAGGACTTTCTGAATATCACTGAGGTGTGTAACTTTAACAAACCTCCTCAAAATGTATGTAAACTAATCCTAAATAAAGTTGCTACTTTTTTTTTTTTAAAGATCAAGAGGCCTTTATAAGCACAAACGATACACATTTAGAGAACATTTTGGAAAAGGAAACCCCATCTGCAATAGCAGGAAAGATCAAACACCTAGGAATACATTGGACAAGATACAGGCAAAACCTATAGGAGGAAATTTTTTAAACATCAGACATTCCTGAAAGACACAAAGGGAGACGCAAAGCCAGCTTGTTCTGGGTTTTGTCTGGAGAGGGATGGGCAGAGAGAGAAGCGCGGCCTGGCCGCCTCCGCAGC